TATTTACTTAAAAAGTTAAATTAACTTAACTTTAACTTATTAACGCGTTAATGCCCAGCCTTGATTATAATTGTGTTCAGTGAATTTATAAACATTTCAAAACTTTCTCTCCGAACATCGAACTCGTATAATAATATGTTGTGCCACTGCTGCGGAGACTTTTTACGGTACCGCGCAGACCACTAATCAAAATCCAAAGTTGTCACGATAATAAATGAACTCTTTTTTGACATCCTACTTGGCGCGATGGTGATGCACCAACCAAGCGAATCGTTTTAAAAAAAAAATAAAACACACACGTGGGAGCTACGGTTGTCACCGTTCTCCGATCCTCGTGTGTTGCGAGAGTAAAATAATACAAGTCGGCACTGTTTGTTGATAAAAAAAAAAAAACACCATTCTTATAAGTATATTATGCGCTGTAATGGTGCAGGTGACATCATCGTCTGATATTGCTGCATCATTAACGTTTTATGCATTTTCTTCTCGATAAGTCGCGTGCGTCCAAGGTCGAAATGATAAGTCCGCGTGGTTTGACGTCCGTCTTAGGTACATAATATCAATAATACGTACTTATATCGTTGTTGTGATCACGGGTGACATTCCCGTACATCGTCGTACTTATAGGATCGCTTGATTGTTCCAGTATAGTACCTATATATGTATGTAATATTGTTTCCGTTAATTCAACGGGTATTATACCTATTATAGCAAAGTTCAACAACATATTAAGCTAAATTTCGATATTGTAATCTGTTATTATCTATTTAATAAAATATTTCCCGACGAAAACAATTAGTATTGCGTTTACGCTGTTTAATGTATTATAGTACGCACTAAGATGTTATTATTATTCATATAGTTCAATAATTTACAAGCTTACTATAATAATAATGTGACATTACCTCGAAAATATCCTCGTCTTCAGATTTGGTGATGGGCGTTTAAAATCCAATATAATTTTAACTCAGATGCCACAGCAATGTTGATTTTGCGTAGTGGAATTTCGCTACAATGCCCGTTGGACAGAAGGAGGTAGTACCTATATATTATAATTTACGGGTATCACGTCCTACGGGTCGGCCGCAACGTACATTGTTATATTATATTATTATATATACCATGATGKATGGATGGTAACCGATTTCTGGTAATGTTTTATTGGTAGAACCGCCTCTAATTATGTCGACCATCACGGTTCCTGGTTCCGACCCATACGAATTTTATCCTTTATGGGTTTTTGATCGCTCCCCCCTCCCCCCTCCGCCACCCCACAACCGAAAACGATATCCGATGATGGCGATACCAATACGTATTATAATAAAATACAATAATAGTATCATTATCTCYGTGCGATGGTCGGAGGTGTACGCGTAATACCTATGTCTATTTAGTATTATACTTACACCGTGGGCAGGTCGGAAAGGTCGCCCGGTGTCCCGACGGCTATGGTGGGGGGCGAGTGCTTGAGGGGGGGAGGAGGAGATAGKTACACCGAGTATATTATATTACGTCCGGATTCGGTGCCCGTCGTCGTTTGTCACGCGCTTTTGGTTCAGTACCAGTGCAAACATGTCCGTAGACGTAATGACCAGCAAGTTCGGTAACATCACGCTGAAGACCAGCACGCCCAAWAAGGATCCGGGCGACGACGACGTGGCCATCCTGTCTTCATTTCTTCCGGAATACCTGATGAGTCCCGCGGCCATAGCCAAGAACAAGACGTTCGAATGTTCGATGAAACGGGACTGCAGACTGGGAGACCCCAAAGCCACCCCTCCAGGTAGAACCGTTAAAAAAAAATAATACTCGTTTGACTATATATTGAAAACCGTGCAAGGCCCGCCACTCCGTCGTCATATACATAATATATAATATATGATGTGGGACAAAATATCTCGCTGTGACTCGTCGTATCACGATTACGGGACAGGCTTTTTTTTTTAAATTTTTTTAAATAATTATTTTTATTCATCTCGTTTTTCATAATATTATTATTGTTTCGACGTTCAAAGCGTTCTATTCGTTGTACTAAATCGGTATGTAGTTCGAGGAACCTACAACGTCAGACTGCCGCAGTGTATAACAGGATAACATCCAAGCCGGTAAATGGTTTTTTATTTGGCCATCAATATGTTTACTGCGTGGAAAATAAAACATTTACTCTCACCATTTACCGATGACTCATATATTATATTATGTTACAGTCAAAAATGAAATTTATTTTTATGTCTTATTATAATATTAATATTATTATGACGTATGAAAATCTCCATATATGGTGATTATAATTATCTTAACCATCTGTTTACTATACACAATCCTAATACCTACCTAACACATTTCGTAATATATGGATATAGTGGTATTTATAGTTAAATGTACCTAAATTTCTCTTTAAATCTACAAATAATAATATACGTTTACTGACTTT